GTCAAATGAAAGTCACCAACCTACGTCACTTTCGGCTTTCAGCCTCAAGGTCATCCATACACCAACGTCATCGGCCTTCGGCCTCAAGGTCATCCCAAGCCAGAAAGTGGAGGGGGGAGACTCAGAGACCGCAATTATACCCTACTTATGTGGATAACTTCAATTTGTAATAGGCAAGACCCACTTCTGATTTTGGTACAGGCAAGATTTGTTCGAGGTCAAATACAGCTACACAGAACTACTTGTCATTTTTTCTTTCCCTTTTCCCTTTTCTTTGTCTTTATTTTTATATTCTCGGGCTAAATCCTCAGTCTTAATATGGAAGTTATACTCATCTTGTAGTTCGGTTTTTTGATCAGCTGAAGAATGTTCATATCTGTTACAAACATCACACTCGTCTTTTTTTGGTACCAGTCAAGCTTCTGCTTGATTAACAGCCCTTTTAAAAATTTTACAGGTTCTGGTTTTATACATTTTTTTAGCTAACAGGACAATAAACGTTTCTACGACGATCACTTTAACAGAGCAGTACTAGTCTATGTCCAGCGTTAAAATGATAAATTAATGTATACATAAAATACTTATGCATTGAAATATTTCAGTTGGTTGGACATAAGCTAGTTTGATTGCAGCTAATTTTAAACTCAAAGTTAAATATAGAGATACGATATTTCTGCAGCAAATTTTATAACATTTGAACTGGACATAGGCGTGAAAACCTCATTTTCGCTAAAAATGGACTTAGCATACTTCTGCATTAACCCAGCGATGTATGCAACTCGAAATATAACTTACGATACAAAAAAAAAACTATTTAAGAACATAGCGACGTAAAAATTCACTAATAAATACCTGTTATTAGCCAGAGTTCCTTTAGACAATCCTCCCGGCTCCGTTGAAAGTCAGCAGGTGCCTCTTCTTCGTCTTCTCCTTCTATCAATCTAAACAGGACCGCTCCCAAGAGGGTATAGCCAGTCATCAGGACTAACAGACTAGTCCTGCCACACAACATCGTCACTACGCACCGTCTGTTGGCAGACAAACTGTTGCCCTCCTCCATCTAAAATAGAAAAGGAAAAATAATCATTTTCTTTTCAATTGTTGTCAAATTAAGTCATATAGGTATTGTATACGCTTTGATCATAATTATATCTAGCTGTTGTAAAGAAATAAGCCATCCACCCAACTCATCTACCTCATCATAAGCCATCCATCCACACATCTGCAGATGTTTAGTCTTATATCAGGATTATAAGATGTTATTTAAATACAAATAGAGTTATCTATGCAAACGTTAAGTTTTAACTAAGATTAAATGAATCTATCAAGTTCAAATTGATTTACTTGTTACTTTCATTATCTTATATTATTTGAACACAAAATAAATCCTATTATAATAGACAAAGTTGCTTTCCGCTGGATTTATACAGAGGTTTAAAATCGCAAGCGACTGAGAGGTTACTCTGTAACTAAGTATATCCCTCAAATCGATATGAAGGTTCTGTAAAGAAGGTTTACCGACAGCGACTCCTATCAAATTTAATAATTCAATTTCAAACTGTGAAGTCGCATTTTTATACATCTTCTCCCGTGGACAGACATTTATCGACATTGAGGTTGAACCTAGTAGAGTCAGATGTACTCGACTAGAACAATATTATTACTTCGGAGGTTCCCGTCAAGGGAAGTCCATAAACGTAACAAAAGTGTTATCAGATAAATGAGGATGTCTCTTTCCAATTCAGACACGCTCGGTTATTAAGGGATAATCTAAAATCTATAAGCTCCGAGAGGGCGATGAAAGTATTATGGAATGCTCGAGATGATGACGCTTAAACTCGCCGTTTGATAATTCAATTACTGGCCCGCGCGGGGAAATATTAGGAATCACTTCAGAGGGACGCCACCTGAATTTTTATCCACAAACATTTATTTCCGCCCGAGCTCTCTTGCGGCATGGCAGAATGTAAGCTAGTTACTGTGCCATGCGTGTTTTATTTTATTAGTTATTTCAATGTAAATTAAGCAAATATATTTAATCGCTATTCCTAGAGGAAAATAAGAAATTTGTGAAATTCCTTTAATTATTATTTTAAAATTACCTATATGTATATCTACAATACCTACAGTACCGCTGATATGTATGGAAACGGTCGATTATCTCCTAAAGTAAAGTATAGCTATGGAAAAATCATAAGATACAGACATTTCAGGGTTTCTTTAAAATACATTACCTACAATAAAGAAAAAAGAAGTATACAGGATCAGTCAAAAAGTCACGACGAAACAAAGTTGTTTTCTTTATTGAAACACCCTGTATATATTCCATATTTCAAGTCTTCTCGAAATTCTAAACAAAATTCATATCCTATAGCACATCATGTACCTAAATTAACCGTTTTCGGAAATATCAAACTTTGAGAATAACTTTTTTCTACTCACAAATTTATAAAAGAAAAAGGGCCCCAAATTATGGATATTTATTTTGAAAATAATACAAGGTAGAGGATATGGATATGATTTAATTTTATTATTAGTTTTTAGAAACGAAAAAAATGTATTTTTTAAAGAATGTCCTGGACACCTATTGTAAATTTTATGAAAACAATAGTTATGCCCGAATAAAAAAAGTAAAGAAAACAAGTTTTAATAAACAACAAATATTTTCTTTGGAATTCCATTTTATAAGGTGCTCAAAGTGTTTACCTCCCGACAATAATGAATTCGCTGAACAAAATTTTGTAGGTAATCTAAAAGGGTGTTGGGAGGAACAGTGGAAATGCATGCCTTATCCTTTCCTGCAACTCTTCGATATTTTGCGGCCTATGTTTGTAGACTACATTTTTTATATGTGACGCCCACAGAAAAAAGTCAAACAGTGTCATATCGGGAGACCTAGCTGGCCATTCATTTGCCCCAATCCATTTATTAGGAAACGTTTCTAGCCTGTACCACACACGTCCAAAATGTGGAAGGAGCCCCATCAAATTATGCAAATGTATTTTTAACATGTGTTGTCAAGATAATCACTATTAGACAAAAGAACGACGCGGCGTTGTTATGGAGCTAGAAACTTTCAAGGGTAACTTGATGGACTATAAACTTAATGGACTAAAATATTTTTGTATAATTTGTAAGAAAATGGTTTTCAAAGTTCGATATCTCGAAAACGGTTAAGTTTAGGTACACGATGTGCTATATGAATTTTGTTTAGAACTTCGTGAAAAAATGAAATATGGAATAATATACAGGGTGTACCATTAAAAAAAGCAACTTTGTTTCATTTGACTTTTTGATTGATCCTGATTGTATATCTACTTAATTTGTCTTTATTTTAATAGATTTTTAAAAACCCTAAAACGTTTGTATCTTACGATTTTTCGATAGCTGTCTTATTTTAGGAGATAATAATCAATCGTTTCCATACATATTATCAGCGAGTCCGTATATAAAAATATTTTTTATAGAAAATATTTTGTTACCGCAGCAACAAAATTTGCCATAACTATAAAATGATTGTTTCAAAAAATACTACTACCTAATTCAATACAAATAAAATCAATTTATTATGTTTGAGACTGAAAAAAATTGTTGTTACAAGTTTGATTAAAATAATTTTTAAGCAAATATATAAATATAGAACAGGATTCAAACTTTTCGAATAATGTATCGCCCTCGAAGTATGTAACAACATTAAGGCTGACTAGACGATTTTACAAAGAAATGGTATTTTACCTAGAGCCGTTATTACTCGTAACGTTACAAGACTGTAAGCGTTTTGTACCTACATCACATAATCTTTAGCCTGAGTCGGCTTGCCGTATTTATCATCATTGTAATGTTTGTAATAGTCGGATTGTATTTTTGGTCACATTAATTTAATTTTAAAATAGTGAATCGGAAAATTTGAACTTTGATGTAATTTTGTATTTATTGTAGGTGTATTGCCACGGGCCACCACTGCTATGCTTACTTTCAGCACATTTCCCTGTTATATTTACTACAAAAAAAACGGGTAAAACCTTCATTAAGCAATAAATCGCTTTCATACCCGGCAAAATATGCAATAATCTTCAGTTTGTTGTTCCATTCGTCATCGTGTTTCGCATTTGATGGCAACGTACACAGTGTTTATGAAAAAAAAAGTGATTGATGAAGAAGTGTAGTTGAATAACAACGGCATTAAATAACCTTTATTTCTGACCGGGATATTATAAGCTTATATCGTCATAGTTACGCTATCAATAAAGAGAGTCATAACTCCCTTGGGACATTATAGATTCTATAATTCCCTCTACCTTTCACAAGTAAAAATAAAATAAAAAATGCTAATATACATATATGTGTATATATTTATGAAATGAAAACTGAACCATATTTTATTTATTTGCGTCATTACAAATAATAAATGTACAATTTTAAAATGTTCCCTGAAAATTACTACCGCCACTGGAAACAATTTCTTCTTTTGTATGGCTGGAGCTTCTGTTCACTACAGTCGAGGTACCTGCCTCTTCTAATGGCTAAGTAGACAACATACGCGCCGTTTTATTTCTCAATTCGATGCTATCCTCCAGATACCCCTCCGCCACCGTGGAACTTTTCCAACCTCCATGTCTTTTTAAGTTAGTCATACTTAGTTGCTTCTGCATTAGCTAGAGCAGTGGCAGAAGTGCGACGAAGGCAATGTCCCGTATAGGAAGATGGGTTTGGCAATCCTAAATACATTGCGATTTTGCTGGGAATTTTCCCAAACATGTTTTTTCCAATTAGCTGAGATGTACATTTATTTTGTCGGAAGCGCAAAAAAAATCGTTCAATACCTTTAGGACGCAATGACATATAAAGTCTTAATAAAGGCAAAGCAGAGAACTCTTTTTCATCCACAATTGTAAATTTCTTCGATACACCAGTTTTACTTTCCGGTACGTTCACTACCATAACGGAATCCCGGTCCTCTATATCCGATATTTTCATATTCAAAAGTTCCTGACTTCTGCATCCTCCAAAATAACCCATAATCAAAACAACCTAAAACAAAAACAGGAAATAAATACACACAAAAAGGAAAATAAGAAAAAAAATACCTTATGCAATAAATGAATTTCATTAGGAGCGTTCTTTAGAAATCTGATAACATCATTAGGAGATAAAACAGCAGACTTTTTCGGCTTATAACTCTTACTCTTCCGTTTCAAAAAAGCCTCTAGTTCATTGAACTTGGCGATATCTCGTTTCTCATGTATATCCACCTTCGATTTTAGCATTGACCATTTAGTTCATAAAGAATTCGGACAATACGTTTCTGACTGCAACGAATAAACAAAATTACTACCAAATCTACCGAAAAACATAGAATATTCCTTACCAATTCTTGAAAATATGCCAGTAATACAGTTTCAGTGGCATCTTTTGACATAACATTATTCCGTGTCAGCCACTCCAGATATATCTTGTATTCTTTTTGGTATACGGCTTCACTTTTCGATGGAATTAATGATTCTCTTGCTTTTTCAGCTTTCTTCAAAATCTGCTCCATTATATTTGGGGTAGAAAACACGTTTTTAACGCAAACACAGCTTGATAACAAAGTACTGTTTATAAGCAAGTAACAATTCTGTTTATAAACACGTAACATAGCAACAACCTAGCAACAACAAAACTCAATGGTAATAAATTGGTACATTTTTTCCGTTTTAAAAATAAACAATATTTTATTGAAATCGGTCAGAAATAAAATTATCTATGTACCACGGGAATTAATGAGCCTTAATAACCTCAGGCAATTGCTGTCCCTCGGGCGGGACGCCCTCGGGACGCAAACTTTGCCATCGGTAATTAAGGCCCTTATAATTCCCTAGGTACATAAATAACTATTATTTGATTAGCCTACGAATTTTCAGGTTTTAATAGATATTTCTCCAAGTATTCATGACAGAGGAAGAAGAACAGAGAGGCTCACAAACAGTATACAGTATACCGCGTTTGCAAATTAAAGACCATTTAAATATTATCGATTTTTGTTAAAGATCATATTAGCTGAGGTTGAATCTTGTTGTGGTGGTTTTATTTTAGTCTTTGTCGAGTTTTTTTACCTTTAAATGCCAAAAAAAAAATCGTAGCAGGAAAAATATTGCTAATTTTTCGGTTAAAACTTAAATGAATCCGAGATGAATCATATTGAAGGGAAAATCAGAAGATAAGAAGGTATTCCATTGAATTTTATTTCTTAGCCGTCCTTGACTCGATTTTACTAGCTTGTATATGATGGTATGTACATGCAGAACAGAATTTTTAGGCTGTTTGGACTACAAATTCCACCTTCAGTGGGAAATTCAGCTGGTCATATTGTAGTTGTTTTAACTAGTTCTCCCACGAACATGTATTTACAAAATATTTGAGGCAGTGTATGGTTGTTTTGACTGTCTTAATAGGGCTTAGCCGTTATGTTTTTTTTACCTACAGTACATATACAAGTGTTTTATCACTCCGCAAAAATTGAAAGTTTAGCTAGTCATCATATTAATAATAATAATAATAATAATAATGTTTATTACCCAACAGATACAAATTCAATTACAGGACAAATTTATAAGTGCCAGATACACAACAAAAAAAAAACAAATAAAAGAAAGCCGGAAAAATATAAAACAAATATAAAAAAATATATGTACATTATATGCATACACCACCTAGTTCCTAGATGGTGAAATTAACAGTAGCACAATTAACAATTTGCGAGAAAGTACTAAGCATTAACATCGAAAGTATCAGATATCAAATTGAAATTTTTGTACATAATACATATAGGAGATTTCAAAACTATATTGGTCTTAACGCTTGACAGTAAAATGTAACATTTTGCCTGGAACTTATTCTAGGAATTTGAAAATAAAACTGTTGCAATAACAAGGGACAATCTAAATTGTTATAAAATATATTATAAAGAATTTTTAAACTATTAATAATCCTACGTAACTCTAAAGAAGTAAAATTAAACCTATCAAGCAATACAGAATGATCGTATCCTCTTTCTGGATAAAAATTATCAACTTTCAAACATAAAAACTTGAGAAACTTTCGCTGTACACCCTTAATTATGTGCTTATGATTTACATACAGTGGATACCAGACAAGCGAGCAGTACTCAAGTTTAGATCTTATAAAAGAATAATAGAGCGTCTTCAAAGTTACCTCATTAGAAAATGAGTGACAGTTTCTAGTTATGAAACCAAGCATCTTCAGAGCTGAACCTGTGGCATACTCAATATGATTTGAAAAGTTTAGTTTTGCGTCGAATATTACTCCTAAATCTTAAATGGAGTCGCATCATTCCAGTATTACTTCGTTCAAAACGTAATCGTAGATAACGGGGTTACATTTACGGGTGTAGGTTACTATTTTACACTTGTTGTTACAGGTGTTTTAAGTACCTTGCCCACGAACAATATGTTTGCAGAATATTTTGGGGCGGTCGCTTTAATTCGACACACATTCCATGTGTGTGTAGAGAGTGGTTGTCACTCGTTTTACATGCAAAGTCCATCTAAGCATTTAGTAGTTCTTTTAACCACGTTACCGGTAACTTGTTTTAGACACTTGGGTGTAATTGTACTGCTATTTTTACCCGGTATAGACACAAAGTGGATTTTTCGTCCTAAAGGGTTGCTATTATAATTTTGTCTTGCTCACATACCAAAATTTAAATAATCTACTAGATATAGCTTTATCTAGTAGTTTTTCCAGAAACGGTGATTGTACGTGTTCATAAAAAATAATTGTAGTTATTTATAATTATAAAGCAATTTGTTTGAGATAGATCGGAGTTATGTTAATCCTTTCTTTACTATTACAGTCTTACTCGATTCAAAAATGATATGAGGTTGTATATATTGGTACCCACCATGCCCTTTTAATTCAAATAAAAATGCAAGTAATAAAATTAAAAAGGTATATCAAAAAAGACGGGGTGCGGGCGGGACAACATGTGAACAGGATATGAAAAAGAGTTTACTGGTAAAAGGAGCCTTTGGTGTAAATTAATAATAATGAATTTATTGAAAACAGATTACGTCAATCTAAAAAGGAGTGCCTTGTTTTGTTACTCAATATGTACTATGTACAATAAGTATTTTCTATAGTGAAAGTTAATGCGAATTAAGTATACAGGCAATTTTGATGATAACACCTTATACATATTTTATTTGATTTAAATAATCTAAAGTGAGCACCATTTGGTGAAGCATTGCTATCTTGGAAACTATAAGAGATAGGAAAATGATTAATGGGAAAAGTTTTAGACAATTCTGTTGCTAACTTAATGGCGCTCGCAGACCGGTCCAAGCTCTTCAGGGTTTTAGTTATTTTGAAAAAAAGTAAATGTGGCGTTTTCGAAAATTTTACTGTATTTTTAGATTTTCAATGCGACGTTTCGGTTGCGAGAAACCATAACCAACTTTCTTTTTTAATGAGCCAAAAAATTCCAATGCGCGGGCATTGCTGTTTGTTCCTGTGGATGGTCCGCTCTGGTGGACAGCTTCAAAGTTTATCGCGCTGCGGATTCAAACGGTCCGATGAAAAATGTTACGAATTTATCTTGTTGAGAGAGAATTGTTTTAAGTAATGTGGCGAAATTTTTTACAGCATGCCTCTGAGGATTTAAATTGAAAACGTTTATCTTGTTTTTGCGTACAAACTAAAACTCCAGTTTAAATTTTAATTTGGGCGACGCGACGCGACGGGCGGATTACGCAGCTTACACGCAGCCTGAGGGCAAAAAGAGTTGTATCGTTCCGTATATACTTAATACGCATTTAAAACTTCAGAAGAGCCTGTATACATTCCGAACTATCAGTCTCTCAAATACTGTGAGTTTAATATGTTCAAAAGTATACTGAATATTGAAAGTGACAGGAAAGACGACTAAATTTAGGTAGGTATATCCCCGAAAAGCGCGGACGTATTTGTTTTGTATATATTATGTATGTACTTACTACAACATTGAAGCCTTGTTTGAACTCTAAACTGTCTCGGGCGAGTGTTTTCAATTTTACATATTTTCTGCAATTTTATCTTTAGCCTTACTATTTAATATTAATATTATTATAGGTAATATAATAAAATAAATATGGAATTAATGTAGTACTGTAAATGTTTTGCCTTAGCAGAATAACTATTTGCTTCCATGATTTTTCCTCTGTTGACCTGAATAAAATATTTGATAATGTACATACCTACAGTTTTGACAATTTCTATCTTAAATAGTATTTGAAATAATATTCAATCTTAGATAATATGCGATGTGCATACCTATATATTTGGGAAGAAAAGTTTAGGGTAGGTACTTTCCAATAATTGCACAGTTTTGTCATAGCACGGCAAAATCGTCACTTAATTAATTTGTCAAATAAAATTGCCCTTTTCGTATTAATCGTACAAACGAATCGATCGATTTCGAATCCATACGTGTGAATTTCAGTTTGAATAAAAGGAATAAGCAGAAAAGTTTGCTTTATATCAGTCATTCCTCTATACATATGAAAATATGATTTTATTCCCGTTGCAAAAACCAAAGCACAGTATGAATATTTGATTATTTCATAATGGCTCTGTTCCGAAAATTTATTTTCCACACAGAACGAACGAGTTACGAGTTTAAAAATAAAGCGGTGCGCGAAATATTTGATGAATACATTTCATGTATACGTAGGTATATGAAATACAGTCGGGATTTGTGTTTTAAGCCAGTTATTTATTTCAAATAAATTTCTTTGGGCACAAGTGAAAATTTATAATGGAGAACCGTAAAGAAATCTTGTCTTGTCCGACGATTGACAGAGTAGTTAAAAATTTGGTTTTACTCAAAAGAAGAATAAAACACGACTGGAGTGATAAGAAAATATTTTAATTGCACGCGAGGGATGACATGACATTTGTTCCTTTAACGCAGTGCAAACCAAAATCCATTAAATAAAACGCCAAAAAAACGAGTACCATTCCAGTTTATATTATAATCATGTACCTATTCAACACTTTCGATACTAGTTTCAAAACTTTATTTTTCCTAAAAATCATTATTATCCGTCAGTCAAAACCTACTAGAAGATTTTGAAATCCGGCTTTTAAGTAAACTTAACGATTTATAGGTATCATTTTCAATTTTTTTGCTCGAAAACGCCAGCAGATACGAAAACATTGCAAGAGACAAAAAAAATTTAAATTGAACAGGGAATTAAACCCTTAATCTAGAAAAGATCAGTGGCGTACC